TTATTATTATTATTATTATTATTATTTATTTTATATATTTATTTTGTGTGAAAATAATTTGAAAATATAATATATATAAAAAAATGCACTTTTAAAAAGACAATTCTACAGTTCTTCCTTTATTCACTAATCAAATTTTCTGCTTTTATGTAAATTTCTGTGTAAATAAATGGAACAGATTTTCAGATTTAAGTGACAGTTTTGAAATCTGCAGTCATTTTTTTCCCACAGATTTTTCCCTCTTTCGTGTCGTGTGTGTTTTTGTGTGTTTTTGTGTGGTTTTGTGTTTTTTTTTTCCTCTGTGATAAATGTCCGTCTGTGCTGATGCCCCCCGTCGCCGCGGCGCCCACCAGATCGTAAACAACAGTGTCTCCATGGTAACCGTCTCCATGGACGCCATTGGTGATTCCAATAATGTGTGTGTACAAGTGTGTGTGTCTGTGTGTGTGTGTGTGTGTATGTACAGGGGTGTGTGTGTGTGTGTTTACAAGTGTGTGTGTGTGTGTGTGTGTGTGAATAATTGTATCTGCGTGTGTTTGTGTGTGTATATGTGTGTATAAGTGTGTGTAAGTGTAGTGTGTGTGTTGTGTGTGTATCTGTGTGTGTGTGTGTGTGTATATGTGTGTATAAGTGTGTGTGTGTGTGTGTGTTTGTGTGTGTGTGTATCTGTGTGTGTTGTGTGTGTGTATATGTGTGTATAAGTGTGTGTGTGTGTGTGTGTGTGTGTGTGTATCTGTGTGTGTGTTTGTGTGTGTATATGTGTGTATAAGTGTGTGTGTGTGTTGTGTGAGTGTGTGTATCTGTGTGTGTGTGTGTGTGTGTATATGTGTGTATAAGTGTGTGTGTGTGTGTGTTTGTGTGAGTGTGTGTATCTGTGTGTGTGTTTGTGTGTGTTTGATCTGCAGCATCAGAACCACAACATGTTTCTTTTCTGAGATTTAGAGTAAAACTATTTTTATTTTTATTTGTTTTTACACTTTTTATATTAAAGTTCAGATCCAGCTTTTCACTCTTTTACACACTTCACATCACGAGACTTAAGTAGTGTGTGTGTGCTCGTTTGTGTGCTCGTTTGTGTGCTCATGTGTACTTTTGTGTGATTCCTGTCGTCAGTTATAAATAAAGTTTGACTGTAATGTGTTTTTTGTTGTTGTCTGTGGGTTTCGGCTAAAAATTTAAAAGAAAATGTTATATCTTTCAGAGGTGAAAAGGTTTTTTGTTTTTTTTTCCTCTCAAATGTCCAATAAACATATGTTTTGTTTTCCTTAGTGGTCCATTTCATAAAATAAAAAAAAGTAAAAAAAATAAAATAAAAAAATAAAATAATAATAATAATAAATAAATAAATAATAAAAATGTGTTCCTTGAGATTGAAACAGAGATGAGATGAGAGTGTTCAGCGTCCATATGTCCCACCCATGTTTTATTAACACAACAGAAGAGAAGAACGAGGGAGAGAGGAGAGAAGAGAGAGAAAACAAGAAAGAGGAGGGAAAGAAGGTGTATGAACTAAAAAGAATCCATTAAACCCCTGAAAACAGTCGCACGTAAACACACTCACAGAGACGAGAGGACAGAGAGCCTGTGAGACAACGCTGAGGGACAGAGAGAGCCTGTGAGACAACGCCGAGGGACAGAGAGAGCCTGTGAGACAACGCTGAGGGACAGAGAGAGCCTGCGAGACAACGCCGAGGGAAATAGAGAGTCTGCGAGACAACGCCGAGGGACAGAGAGAGCCTGCGAGACAACGCCGAGGGACAGAGAGAGCCTGTGAGACAACGCTGAGGGACAGAGAGAGCCTGTGAGACAACGCTGAGGGACAGAGAGAGCCTGCGAGACAACGCTGAGGGACAGAGAGAGCCTGCGAGACAACGCTGAGGGACAGAGAGAGCCTGCGAGACAACGCTGAGGGACAGAGAGAGCCTGTGAGACAACGCCGAGGGACAGAGAAAGCCTGTGAGACAACAATGAGGGACAGAGAGAGCCTGTGAGACAACGCCGAGGGACAGAGAAAGCCTGTGAGACAACAATGAGGGACAGAGAGAGCCTGTGAGACAACGCCGAGGGACAGAGAAAGCCTGTGAGACAACAATGAGGGACAGAGAGAGCCTGTGAGACAACGCCGAGGGACAGAGAGAGCCTGTGAGACAACGCTGAGGGACAGAGAGAGCCTGTGAGACAACGATGAGGGACAGAGAGAGCCTGTGAGACAACGCTGAGGGACAGAGAGAGCCTGCGAGACAACGATGAGGGACAAATCTGTCTCTGCACAACTCATCCCATAAAACAGCAACACTTATATTGTTGTGTGTGTATCTTGTGTGTGTATTTTTTGTGTGTATTTTTGTGTGTATTTTTTGTGTGTATTTTTTGTGTGTATTTTGTGTGTTTTTGTGTGTATTTTTGTGTGTATTTTTGTGTGTATTTTTGTGTGTATTTTGTGTGTGTATTTTTTGTGTGTATTTTTGTGTGAATTTTTTGTGTGTATTTTTTGTGTGTATTTTTTTCTGTGTATTTTTTTCTGTGTATTTTTGTGTGTATTTTGTGTGTGTATTTTTGTGTGTATTTTTTGTGTGTATTTTTTGTGTGTATTTTTGTGTGTGTATTTTTTGTGTGTATTTTTTTGTGTATTTTTGTGTGAATTTTTTGTGTGTATTTTTGTGTGAATTTTTTGTGTGTATTTTTTGTGTGTATTTTTTGTGTGTTTTTGTGTGTATTTTGTGTGTGTATTTTTGTGTGTATTTTTTGTGTGTATTTTTTGAAGGTATTTTTTTTGAAGATTTTTTTTTTGAAGATATTTTTGTGTGTATTTTTGTGTGTGTATTTTTTGTGTGTATTTTTGTGTGTATTTTTGTGTATTTGTAGTTATGTTCTTTACAGGAGGTGTTTGTGGGACGGTTGCAGCTCTGGAGCAACGACATCACAGAAAATGGACCAAAATTGTGATGTTTTTAAAGATCTGGTTAAACGAGAGGAGCCGCGGCACAACGACTGGAAGTTCTGGAAACAGAACTGATCTGAGGAACGAGAGGAAACACACAACTCTCCTGTTCTGCAGAGTGTGGAGCCTGAGTAATACTGTAAACTCTATCACACACACACACACACACACACACACAGGTGTTGTGACACAGGTGTGTGATGCACCTGCTCTTTCTTCTTAAACGTTCTTGGAGACAGATAAAAGAATCTTTATAGTGAAGATTTATTCATAAAAACTTTGTTGTTGCACCAGAACGAAAACAAAATGGCGTCATGTTGTTTGTCCAGCTCCTGTTGTTCACTTTGTGTTTTCACTCCTCAGAGAAGAACTTTGTGTCAAATGGCAAAAAATTCACGGAGGGAGATCGACGACATTTTAGGCTCGAACAAAAATCGGTGTAAAAAGTTCGGAGTAAAATCTGAGACAAGTTTATGAACCAAAAGACGAGTCACGCGAAGGGGGCGGGCGCGGGGCATAGAGAGGGGGCGGGGCAGAGGGAGAGGGCGGGCATAGAGAGGGGGCGGGGCAGAGGGAGAGGGCGGGGCATAGAGAGGGGCGGGGGGGGGGCGGGGCATAGAGAGGGGCGGGGCAGAGGGAGAGGGCGGGGCAAGAGAGAGGGGCGGGCATCACGTCAAGAACAAGAACAAAGTTGTTATGAAGGATGAAAAGGCCTTAATCTGTTTCTTCAGACGGAGGAAACAGTGAGTCTGGTCCTGACCAGGTTTGTTTCCAGGTGCTTTTGTTACTGCAGCGACTCAGGTCACCTCAGGTCACCTCAGGTCACCTCAGGTCACCTCAGGTCACCTCAGGTCACCTTGGTGGAACTGAGGCTTTAATAAATTGGACTGAACAAATAACCCAGAGTTTCACTTTAACACATTTCATTAAAAAAACAGGTTGTGTGTAGTTGTGTGTTGTTGTGTGTTGTTGTGTGTGTATTTGTGTGATGTTGTGTTACCTGTGTGCGACAGCAGGTTGGGCGACAGGAGGTTGTTGTGTTGTTGTTGTTGTTGTGTTGTTGTGTGTAGTTGTGTGTGTAGTTGTGTGTTGTTGTGTGTGTAGTTGTGTGTGTAGTTGTGTGTAGTTGTGTGTTGTGTGTTGTTGTGTTACCTGTGTGCGACAGCAGGTTGGGCGACAGGAGGTTGTGTTGTGTGTTGTGTTGTGTTTTGTGTGTTGTTATGTTGTTGTTGTGTGTTGTTGTTGTGTAGTTGTGTGTTGTTGTGTGTTGTTGTTGTGTAGTTGTGTGTAGTTGTTGTGTTGTTGTGTGTAGTTGTGTGTGTAGTTGTGTGTTGTTGTGTACCTGTGTGCGACAGCAGGTTGGGCGACAGGAGGTTGTTGTGTTGTTGTGTTGTTGTGTTGTGTTGTTGTGTGTAGTTGTGTGTAGTTGTGTGTTGTAGTTGTGTGTTGTGTGTAGTTGTGTGTAGTTGTGTGTAGTTGTGTGTGTGTGTGTGTGTTGTTGTGTGTAGTTGTGTGTAGTTGTGTGTTGTATGTTGTGTGTAGTGTGTGTAGTTGTGTTGTTGTGTTGTTGTGTAGTTGTGTGTAGTTGTGTGTTGTATGTTGTGTAGTTGTGTACCTGTGTGCGACAGCAGGTTGGGCGACAGGAGGTTGTTGTGTGTTGTGTGTTGTGTGTGTGTGTTGTGTGTAGTTGTGTGTAGTTGTGTGTGTTGTGTGTAGTTGTGTGTAGTTGTGTGTGTTGTTGTTGTTGTTGTGTGTAGTTGTGTGTAGTTGTGTGTGTGTTGTGTTGTGTGTAGTTGTGTACCTGTGTGCGACAGCAGGTTGGGCGACAGGAGGTTGTGTTGTGTTTTGTGTGTTGTTGTGTGTGTTGTGTTGTGTGTGTAGTTGTGTGTTGTTGTTGTTGTAGTTGTGGTTGTGTGTTGTGTTTGTGTGTGTAGTTGTGTGTTGTGTGTGTGTTGTGTGTTGTGTACCTGTGTGCGACAGCAGGTTGGGCGACAGGAGGTTGTGTTGTGTTGTTGTTGTTGTGTTGTGTGTTGTTGTGTGTAGTTGTGTGTTGTTGTTGTGTTGTTGTAGTTGTGTGTAGTTGTGTGTGTTGTGTGTAGTTGTGTGTTGTTGTTGTTGTTGTGTGTGTGTGTTGTTGTGTGTTGTGTGTGTTGTGTACCTGTGTGCGACAGCAGGTTGGGCGACAGGAGGTTGTGTTGTGTGTTGTTGTGTTGTTGTGTGTGTTGTGTGTAGTTGTGTGTGTTGTGTGTAGTTGTGTGTTGTTGTGTGTGTAGTTGTGTGTGTAGTTGTTGTGTAGTTGTTGTGTAGTTGTGTACCTGTGTGCGACAGCAGGTTGGGCGACAGGAGGTTGTGTTGTTGTTGTTTGTGTGTGGTGTGTGTTGTTGTGTGTTGTGTGTAGTTGTGTGTGTTGTTGTGTGTTGTGTGTAGTTGTGTGTTGTTGTTGTGTAGTTGTGTGTTGTATTTTGTGTAGTTGTGTTACCTGTGTGCGACAGCAGGTTGGGCGACAGGAGGTTGTTGTGTGTTGTGTGTTGTTGTTGTATGTTGTGTGTGTAGTTGTGTGTGTGTGTGTGTGGTTGTGTGTTGTTGTGTGTTGTGTGTGTGGTTGTTGTTGTAGTGTAGTTGTGTACCTGTGTGCGACAGCAGGTTGGGCGACAGGAGGTTGGGTGTTGTTTGTTGTTGTTGTGTGTGTGTGTTGTGTTGTGTTGTGTATGTTTTTGTGTTTGTGTGTGTGTTTGGTGTGTGTTGTTGTTGTGTTGTTGTAGTTGTGTGTTGTTGTGTAGTTGTGTGTGTGTGTGTTTGTGTTGTTGTGTACGACAGCAGGTTGGGCGACAGGAGGTTGTGTTGTGTGTGTGTTGTATGTGTTTTGTGTGTGTTGGTGTGTTGTATGTTTGTAGTTGTGTAGTTGTGTGTGTTTTGTGTTGTTGTTGTGAGTTGTGTACCTGTGTGCGACAGCAGGTTGGGCGACAGGAGGCCGGGGAGTCCTGGGTGGATGAGTCGAGGTCCGTCCTGAAGTCCGGCCCCGGAGCATCTCTTTGGAGGACGACCCGGACGAGAACTGAACCACAAACAAGAAACACGTCAGAAAGACAAGAACGTACAAAAAAAAAAAAATAAAAATATAATAATAAAAAAAAAAAATAATAAAAAATAAATAAATAAATAATAAATAATAAATAATAATAATAATAATAATAATAATAATAAGTATTATATTGGTTTAGAATTTTAAAAATCTGCTCACATTCGATGTAAAACAAACAGATATTAAAGATTTTCTCAAACATGAATGAAACAAACACAACTCCTTATGACGAGGAAACGACTTTAGAACTCGTCTTAAATCTCACAGGAGTCGTTTTTTTTTTTTTTATGATCCCAGAACCTCAGAAACCGAGAGCGCGAGCGACCGACCGCGGCGGACAGACACCGCGCCATTAATGAAACGCCCAACGCCGCGTGCTGATTGGTGGAGACCCGCAGGTGGTTTTTCACGCGTGTCACCGAGGAACAGAGGAACAGAGGCTTCGTCTGTTCACACCTCAGAGCAGCAGGACTCGGCCCCGATTAAACACACACCCGTTTACAGAAGAGACTTTCAAAAGAGAAAAGAAAATCTCAACACAAAAGAGTCAAGATACGAAAATATTACAGATTCTAAAATTTCAAACATGACATTTCAACACGTGATAGTTTTGAAATCACACTGACGATAAAAACTAAAATATCAACATTTATTTGGTGTTTCAGTTCAAAGATTAAGATATTCTCAAATGATTTCAGAAATATCCAGTGAGCTCCTATTTGTATAGTTTTATTTTTGACATCCTGGTCTTTAGCAGCCAGTCTCGTCTTTGTCCTGTTTTCAGAATCAGAACAAAACTTGTTTCATTCAGAAGAAAATATGTCATTTCTTTTACCTGAAATAAGTCACAGATCTGGAGCTTTCGAGTCCAACAGCTCAAAGAACTTTTACATCAAGCACCAAGCAAAAAAGTATCAAAGTTAACACCAAATCAAACAAAGCAAACAAAAGAAGTAAAGTAAAGTAAAATAAAATAAAGTAAAATAAAAGTAAAATAAAGTAAAATAAAATAAAATAAAGTAAAATAAAGTAAAATAAAAAGTAAAATAAAGTAAATAAAATAAATAAGTAAAAATAAGTAAAATAAAGTAAAATAAAGTAAAATAAAATAAAGTAATAAATAGTAAAATAAAGTAAAATAAAATAAAATAAAATTAAGTAAAGTAAAATAAAATAAAGTAAAGTAAAATAAAGTAAAATAAAGTAAAATAAAGTAAAATAAAGTAAAATAAAGTAAAATAAAATAAAGTAAAGTAAAGTAAAATAAAGTAAAATAAAGTAAAATAAAATAAAGTAAAATAAAGTAAAGTAAAATAAAGTAAAGTAAAGTAAAATTAAATAAAATTACAATTAAATACATTAAATTAAATTTAAAAAATTAAAAATTAAATTAAATTAAATCAAATCAAATCAAATCAAATCAATGAATTTCATAATGAATTTGTGTAATCTTGTATTTTTTAAATTTTTTTTTTTCCTCATCTTTCTCAGTTTTGTGGCCTTTTTTTTTTTTTTAATTTGTTCTGATTCCAGTCTTCTCATTTGCGCTCCCCGACTTTTTGAGAAGAATAAGAATCAAAGAAAACTGAGACAAAGACACAGATTTTACACGATTACACAAATAATTTGATTGCAGTCTTATATTTTTTATTTGGTATTTTGATTTATAATATTTTGCTTGATGTTTAAAAGCGTCTTTGAACTATTTGACTCAAAACTGATTCCATATTTCTCAGTGTTTATGTAGATTTTTATCCTTTTTTTCTTTTTTTTTTTATGTTTACACGTAACAGTGAACGAAACATAAACGTAAACAGCTCGTGCTTCTCTCTGATTGGTTCACCCGCCTGTCAATCACTCTCTCTGGACTCGGGAGGCGGGACTCGGCTCCAGATTCACTCGTTTGTTTAAAGTTTTGGTGAAAGTGTGAGGTTCAGTCTGTTCAGGGAGGGTTTTAAAATGTAATCCCCTACAGATTACAGATTACACACACCAAAATGTAGTTTGTAACGTAATCCATTAAAGTACTTTAGGTGAGTAATGTAATCTGATTACTTTGGATTACTTGATTTGTTTTAGAGAAACAAAGACGAGGAAATCTTCACATAAAATATTTTGTCTGATAAAAGAAAATAAAAAGTCCAAACTTTACTGAACCAAATTAAAAATATTAATGATAGAAGAAGAAGAAACACGTCCACACAGCAGGATTTAGTCCTGTTAAATCCTGGTTTAGACCTGGTTTAGACCTGGTTTAGACCTGGTTTAGACCTGGTTTAGTCCTGGTTTAGACCTGGTTTTTAGACCTGGTTTAGACCTTTAGACCTAGTTTAGTCCTGGTTTAGACCTCTTTAGACCTGGTTTAGACCTGGTTTAGACCTGGTTTAGACCTGTTTAGTCCTGGTTTAGACCTGGTTTAGACTTTTAGACCTGGTTTAGAGTCCTGGTTTAGAAGTGGTTTAGACCTGGTTTAGTCCTGGTTTAGTCCTAGTTTTAGTCCTGATTAGTCCTAGTTTAGTCCTGGTTTAGACCTGGTTTAGACCTGGTTTAGACCTGGTTTAGACCTAGTTTAGTCCTGGTTTAGAAGTGGTTTAGACCTGGTTTAGTCCTGGTTTAGTCCTAGTTTAGTCCTGATTTAGTCCTAGTTTAGTCCTGGTTTAGTCCTGGTTTAGACTTAGTTTAGACCTGGTTTAGACCTTGTTTAATTTCTGGCAATGAGTGGAATTACGGGAAAAAAAATAAAAAAATAAATAAAAAGGGATTTAGCCCAAAATGTGACAACAGTTAAATCCTCTGTTTAATCCATTTATTTCAACAAAGTAACTGTAATCCAATTACCACTCACTGAAACAGTAACTGTAACTGAATACAGTTACTCATCATTTGTACTCTGATTACTTCACTCCGGCACATGTAATCTGTTACTCTCCTGTGAAAACTGTGAACAGGTGATTTATTTGGACGATTGTTTCTATCAATATTTCAGTCGTTTAGATGAAAATTCAAACAAAAACAGAATTATTTTTGTGTTATTTTTTGTGTCGTTTGTGTTTCTGTTTCGTGTTTCAGCCTCGACGAAAAATCTCCCGGAGCCTGTGGAGCCGAGCGGACGTCCAACTCTCTCTCTCTCTCTCTCTCTCTCTCTCTCTCTCTCTCTCTCTCTCTCTCTCCTCTCTCCTTCTCTCTCTCTCTCTCTCTCTCTCTCTCTCTCTCTCTCTCTCTCTCTCTCTCTCTCTCTCTCTCTTCTCTCTCTCTCTCTCTCTCTCTCTCTCTCTCTCTCTCTCTCTCTCTCTCTCTTCTCTCTCTCTCTCTCTCTCTCTCTTCTCTCTCTCTCTCTCCTCCTTCTCTCTCTCTCTCTCTCTCTCTCTCTCTCTCTCTCTCTCTCTCTCTCTCCTCTCTCTCTCTCCCTCTCTCTCCTCTCTCTCTCTCTCTCTTCTCTCTTCTCTCTCTCTCTCTCTCTCTCTCTCTCTCTCTCTCTCTCTCTCTCTCTCTCTCTCTTCTCCTCTCTCTCTCTCTCTCTCTCTCTCTCCTCTCTCTCTCTCTCTCTCTCTCTCTCTCTCTCCTCTCTTCTCTCTCTCTCTCTCTCTCTCTCTCTCTCTCTCTCTCTCTCTGTGTCTCTAGGTGTAAATGACTTTGGACGCCCATCTGTTCGCTCGCCCCCTGCAGAGAAATGGCCTGTATGCACCACACCTCTTCCCTCTCACTTTCTCTCTCTCTCTCTCTCTCTCTTGCGCCTTCTTTCTTTCTTTTTTTTTTTCTTTCTTCCGCTCCTCCTCTCTATCTCGATCTTCTCTCACTCTTTTTCTCTCGCTTTTCCCTCTCTCTCTCTCTTTACTATTTTAGTCTCTGTTTCTGTGTCCCTCTCTCTTTCTCTCCCTCCTCTCTTTCCTCTCCCCTCTTCTCTCTTTTTCTTCTCCTCTCTCTCTCTCTTCCTCTTCCTCTCTATCTTCTCTCTCTCTCCCCGCTTTCTCCTCTTCCTCCTCTCTCCTTCCTCTCCTCTTCTCTCTTCTCTCTCTCCTCTCTTCTCTTCCTCCTCTCCTCTTCTCTCTCTCTTCTCTCTCTTTCTCCTCTCCTCCTCTCTCCTTCCTCTCCTCTTCCCTCTCACTTTCTCTCTCTCTCTCTCTCTTGCGCCTTCTTTCTTTCTTTTTTTTCCGTTCTTCCCTCCTCCTCTCTATCTCGATCTTCTCTCACTCTTTTTCTCTCGCTTTTCTCCCTCTCTCTCTCCCACACACTCTCTCTCTACTATTTTAGTCTCTCTTTCTGTGTCCCTCTCTCTTTCTCTCCCTCCTCTCTTTCTCTTCTTCCTCCTTCCTCTCCTCTCTCTTTCTCTCTCTCCTCTCTTTCTCCTCTTTCTCCTCTCTCCTTCCTCTCCTCTTCTCTCTCTCTCCTCTCTCTTGCGCCTTCTTTCTTTCTTTTTTTTCTTTCTTCCGCTCCTCTCTATCTCGATCTTCTCTCACTCTTTTTCTCTCGCTTTTCTCCCTCTCTCTCTCCCACACACTCTCTCTCTCTACTATTTTAGTCTCTCTTTCTGTGTCCCTCTCTCCTCTCCCCTCTTCTCTCTTTTTCTGTCTCCTTTTCTCTCTCTCCTTCCTCTCCTCTCTCTCTTCTCTCTCTCCTCTCTGTACCCCCGTCTCTCTTCCCTCTCCTGTCTTTTTCTCTTCCTCCTCTCTCCCTCTCTTTCTTGCCCTCCTCTCTTCTCTCTCTCCCTCCCCCTCTCTCCTCACTTTCTCCTCTTCCTCCTATCTCTGTCTCTCTTTTTCTCTCTCCTTCCTCTCCTCTCTGTATCCCTCTCTCTCTTCCCTCTCCTGTCTTTTTCTCTCCCTCCTCATCTCCTTCCTCTCTCCCTCCTCTCTTTCTCTCTCTCCTCCCTTTCTCCTCCTCTCCCTCTTACTCTTCTCTCATTCTTTCGCTCTCTCCCTCCCCACATTTTTTTACCTCCCTCCCTCCCTTCTTTCTTTCTCTTTCCTCTCCCCTGTTTCTCTCCTCTCCCCTCCTCTCTCTCCTCGTTTTATCCTCCCTCCCTCCTCTCTTTCTCTCTCTCCTCCTCTTTCTGTGTCCCTTTACTTCTTTCTCACTCTCCTCTCCTTCTCTCTCTCTCTTCACTCCCCCTCTTCTATCTCTCCTCCCTTTCTTCTCCTCTCCCTCCTCAATCTCTCTCTTCTTCCCTTTCTCTCCTCTCTTCCTGTCCCTCCTCTTTCTGTGTCCATTTCTTTCTTTCTTGCTCTCCTCTTTTTGTCTCTCTCTCCCTCCCCACATCTTTTCCTCTCTTCTCTCTTTCTCTTCTTCCTCTCTTCTCTTCTCTTTCTCTCTCTCTTTTCGTGTAGTTCTAGTCTTTTTTTTCTCCTCCGTCGTC